CTTTGGCTCCGGTCCTTCAAGGGTCGATTGGCCCTCGTACGATACTATTGTAATGTGAGCCTCTCCAGCCCTGGTACGATGAATTGATGAACATTTTCGATTATCTTTTGATAGATACTACCGACCGGACTTATGGTTTAGGAATATCACCTTGGGTATCTTTTTGTTCTTATGCTTAATTTTACAGCTATTTTTGCAGCTAGTGCCGACTAGTGCCCAGATCTCTAGCCGAGATGTTCAGGTACAATGCGCAAACTGTATTTACGCATACAGAAATAACAAAACCGCTGACCGATCTATTTAACTTCATTCTCAAAACTTTGAAAAATAATATGCAGGTTTTTTCATAAATTTGAAGACAGTGAATAGCGGATATGAGTACTAATAGAGATGACAATGATGCAGAAAAAGGGTTTGTACCCTTGCGTAAAAGTCTTAAAAGAAAATCCACGGGAAAGGAAGACAACCTTATGTGGTCATATTACACTGAACATCAAAATGTACAAGTTCTAACAGAAGAAGATGTTGATCAGCTTCGTTGGCGTAATGAGATACGTGTAGAGGGTGAAAACTGTCCTAGACCAATTACAACATTTGGTGATTTGAAATTACCCAAAGAACTGCAAGAGTACTTGAATTCCAAAAATTTTCACATGCCAACTCCCATCCAAATGCAAGGTCTTAGCTGTGCTATGAGTGGCCGTGATGTTATAGGACTAGCAGAGACTGGTTCAGGGAAGACACTAGCTTATACTCTTCCTATGTGCATGCTGTTGAAGTCCAAGCAGCCTTGTAAAGCAGGAGAATCGCCAGTAGTGCTCATGTTGGCTCCCACACGKGAATTAATGCAGCAAATTTTCATGGAGGTGTCGGAACTATTGCAATATCTCACATGCACAGCTTCAAATGTTCAAGCTATTTCACAGAATATGTACACCCCCATGCAACTTCCAGGACAGAGTTCTAGTAGTGTGAATTATTTTCCACCTCAATATCAGCAACAATATAATTATCCAGTTGGAAATCAAATGTTCGTAGGTGGATCAAATTATCTTCAAAATGAATGCCATAACCAGGGATATTTGCAGGGTAGCATGATAAACAGTGTTCCATGCAGCACTGCATACAAAGCAGTAGCTGTCTGTGGTGGTGTGCCAATAGCCAACCAAGTTCAGTCTATCAGGCAAGGGGTGGATATAATAGTTGCAACTCCAGGTAGATTATTAGACCTGTGTGAAAGAGGGGCCCTTAGCCTTGATAAAATAACTTACCTAGTGATGGATGAGGCGGATAGAATGCTGGGAATGGGAATGGAAGAACAGCTAAGAAAGATTGTTGGCTTAGCAACTGGAACTGTTAGGGCCAGACAGACATTATTGTGGTCTGCAACTATGCCTGAATCATTAGAAAGACTAGCAAGATCTGCTGTATTGAACCCAGTTATAATACATGTGGGTCCTGGAGGCCTCATTGCACCTGGCATCCAACAAAATGTTTCATTTCTTCATCATTATCAAAAACCTCAAAGATTGTTAGAAACGCTTCGCACTACACCATACCCACCTGTCATTGTTTTTGCATCATCAATAGAAAATGTAGACTTTGTTACAGGTTTGCTCAAAAAGGAACAATTCCATGCATCTGGTATTCACTCCGAGAAAACACAAGATTACAGATTCAAATTGGCAAAGGCATTTAGGAATGGTAAAGTTGATGTGCTGGTAGCCACAGATCTTGCATCTAGAGGCTTGGACTTTCCAGAGGTTACACATGTGATAAATTATGATTTACCAGATACTATTGAGGATTATGTGCATCGCTGTGGAAGAACGGGAAGAATGGGCCGTCCAGGTATTGCCACATCATTTCTCACACTGGACTGCAAAATTGCTGAGCCACTAAAGGAAATGCTTCAAATTATGGACCAACGAATTCCTAAAGAACTCGAGTTGCCCAAACAATTTGGCAAAAAGATTATTAGAACTGAGTTTGGTGACAGACCTGTTGATATTTAGAAATCTTTCATCACCACTGATGCATAGTCCAGATGCTGGACCCTCTCCTTTACCACTCCGCTTTTGTTTTTGGGTTTAAAAACAAAAGCAAAGTGGTAAAGGAGAGGGTCCAGCATCTGGACTACAATGATGTAGTGCATAACTCCTTCTGTTTTCCATCAGAAATTAGTCAGACTTTATATAATAAATAGTTCAAAACCAATCAAACAATGTGTTTTTATTTTTCTTGTAACATGTTTGTTTGTTAGTTTGTTTTATTGATAAATTGATAACAAAGACAATCAGCCTTTACCTAAACAAGCAGGGGACTGGAAACATGTTTCTTTAAAAATTTGATTTAATTTAAGGAAAACTTGGACCCATTATCTTGCTCGTTTAGAACTAATAGTCCTGTTAGAGTGCTTTTCTTTTTTCTGCAACTTCAATCCTGTTTTGGCTTTTGTATAAGGTATTATAAGCTTGAGGGACAGAAGCCAAAATGCAAGAAACTCTTGGCAGTGCACATGTCATATTGTGTAGTTCCTGAAAATTTCCATAACCCACTATTAATAGGAAATTTGAAAAAAGGTCCCCCGACCCCTCTTGAATTTCCGATTTTCTTCCATAGATAAACCTTGTAATTTTGTTTTTCCTATTACCCCCACCCCCTTGAAATTTCTAATTTCCTCCATGGTGGAGTATTGATATTTTATGAAACCACACATTCAAAGTCAGCCACCATAAGCAGAGGTACCATCCTATCATGACCCTGTAGTTTCCTGCAGCAGACCCTCAACTATTGAAGCCAATTGAGAGTTAAAGTACTGTTTGTCTTCAGCTAAATTTCGCCTGGACTAGTATTTACTGATGAGAACCATCCAGTCTAAATAACAAATTGGAAACCCATTTTTTGGTAAAACCAGAGCTGTTCTGGTCAAATAACCTTAAACTCTTTAAAACATTATGGAAAACTTCTGGTATCGTTGACATAAACTGAAATGCATTGGAAGAAACCATTGTTCCATTAAGCAGATGATGCAAAGGAAGGTGTAAATTCCCATCTTTTGCGGCTCTAGATCCTGTAATGCTGTTAACTAGCAAATTATGCCAAGTTTCAGCCCACAAACAGATCTCTGGGATAAGATTCCCTCCACCTTTTTCTTCCTTTTTATAGAATTCCAAAAATATCAAAAATGCAATAATTACTCTAGGATAAAATGTTGGTGGAATCCGATTTGCTATCTGTCTTAGGTCCAGCATGACAAGCTTCCTTTGTTTACCATCAAGAAGCTTGAACTGTAAAAGTACTGAATGAGGGATTATGGAGGGATGTGTTACTGAGTTTTGATCCAGGTACTCCAAAGGATTTGGAAATTGTGTTGAGCTGCTATTCTCTTTGATAATACTAGAAGGAAAAAAAGCATTTGTATAGTATTTTGTCTTTCAAACCATCAACTCAAAGAAAACCCAGATATTTTTGTGATTAATAAAATATCAAATATAAAAATGAACAAATTTCTTCAAAATATTGTTACTAAATTGAATTTCATACTAGCTTTAAATTTTTTTTGGGGTGGGGGGGTGGTGTGGGGGGCTGGGGGGCGGGTTAGCCCATGATGTGGTGCAGTGAAGGTAATTGGAGGTAAGCGCGAATATAGGGAAACTATACCCATCCCCCACAAATTCCCCTAACATCTACACAGGTTATAGGTTAGCTGTGGTCAATTTACAACGGCTATCTAGCTTTCATGAAGGTCAAAAATTTAACACCCAAATCATGGTCTAATCCTATGTTGAAGGTCTGGAAGGGTATTCAAAGGAGCAATAAAACAGATGAGATATAGTGCGTTATATGGATGCGGAATAACTAGAAAAAATCTAAAGTGATGGGATGTTGGCATTGGCTGTGACTCGAGTATTGCTGAATTCAATGTTTGCTATGTGGGATTTTGCTTTCTGATTTTCGGAAAAACGTGAAAACATTAATAAATAAAATAAAAATGCAAACGCCTTTGGTTGCATTAGATGCAAAATGTTGCGGGATACGGGTTTTCAGGGGAAAAATGGTGCATGATTTGGGATCCAATCCCACCTTCTAGACCCGGTGTGATTTTGTCAAAGTAACACCACACAATGGAAGTTACAGGTCTTTAAAACCGCATCACTCTCCCGTCCCCTCCAGAAACCTTCCTTATGGTGCTACACCATCACAGTACATACCTATCGATCCATACCCTGGTAGAGTACTTGGAACATTCAATAGAGGACTCAGTAACTGACTCAAAAAGCAGCTGAGAAAGGAAAGGACCAAAGCAAGACTTTTCTAAAAAACCAGTATCTACGATGATTCCTCGAGCAACAAGCTGTATTAAAAGAGATTGGGTTGGGAATGCGTGTTCCCTCTTGTAAAATTCTAGAGTGAATTTTACGAAATCCGAGTCACAATTTAATGAGCTTATGACCGGCTGAAGGTTTTCCACGATGATGTTTAGTTGCGAGGGATTCATTATTAGTTGCTGCATTAAATAGTAGAACTCATTTTCAATCGTGTTTCTTGAATCCGTGATCTCTGTATCTTTGACACTTTCCGCCGCCATCTTGAAAGTATGAGGTTGATACTTCATGTACTGGTGGTACATGCGTTTTTTGATTAAGCAAGGACGTGATTGGTCAAAATGAATCGACCAATCAGAAGCTTGTTAGTTTGAGACCAGCTGTCAGTCTAGCGATTCGAAAAATGGCGGATAGACGTGTTTTGACGCTCTCTCAACAGCCATCAAAAACCCAAGGTTTTAGGCTGATTTTATACGTCTTTTCTTCTATAATAAGTTAGTTTTTATTATTTAAGGGAAGGTTGTTGCATTGACTTAAAATTTCTTTTTGTTTCTTGAAAGAATCCATGCGGTCCAAGCTGGAAGAATGGCGCAAAGTAAGACAGCAACAAACGGCTAAACAGCTGAAACAACAAACAGTCCCTCTAAAGACGCCTAATAGAGTTAAACCTCAAGTATCTCAGCAAAAGGCTAAAAGTGTTCAACCAAAGAGCAAAGAAACTTCGTTGTCTAAGTCATCATTAGCTCATCGCAAGAGGAAATCGTTTCACGTGCTGCTATACGACACAGCTGGTGTTAAAAAGATCACAGACGAAAACACAGCGGAAGAGTCGTGTCAAACGTAATTAATAAATTGACTTATTCGTATAATCTTTTGGTTGTCACTCATAAAATACCGTATATTTTGTAATTACATATTTCAGAGTCAATATTGAACTAAATATCAATGAGATCAAAAGGAGAAATTCTAAGATTCAGGTAAGTTTTATACTGAATCATGATTAAGTCGAGACCGTCAAGCTTATGTTTGATTTGTGGGTAGAATCGATAGATGAATAATATCTTAGAAAACCATTTAGATTTTATATTCTGTGATCTTAATTTTCTTTACCTTTTTATAAGAAGCCACCCGAGACGTTTGAAATCGAAAGTGCACCAGATTCAAAGAGAGCAAGAAGAAGCACTTTTACCATCGAGACACCAATGAAAGAAGTTGGTGATAAAAATAAAGAAAATCCCAAACGTTGTGAAAAAAATGAGCAAAACCTAAGGTAACTATTGAAGGRTGCATTGTCTTGATCCGTTATTTGAAATACCTGGTCCCTCACTCTTCATGGAAGAATGAAAAAACAGACATCCTTTTGGTCAGGGGTAGRGAACCATATTTTAAGAATTTCACTGAGAACATGACCCTGGACCTTCACTGCTTTCATTTTTGATGCCATTGAATGCCAAGGCAGTCATGGTCTGTGGGGAGAAAAAGGTTAACTTTCAGACCCAGAAATAAACGAGGGAATGCTAACATTATACTCAATATATTCATCAGTCGGTGGGATAGTGTATTTAATACAGAGAAAAAATTGAATGAGTTAAGAAAAAGGAGGGATGAACCTGACCTTCCCACACTATAATATAATCCCTCTCTGCACCACTATGCAGGTTGTATTTGTGAGATGAAACTTAAAAAAAAAGATGTAAATCTATGTCAGGGGGATTGGACACAGTGTGCAAAGAATCAAAAATCATTAAAGCCGTCAGTGTCCCCACTTTACCCAAAACATGTCAGGGATGGGAAAGCCAAGGAATAGGGATTTTAAAATGACTGATGCATTGTTTTTTATTTTCCTTGTTTTAGAAATAAACTAGAAATATGGAGAGAAAATAAAAGGTAATTATATTTGGTAATTGAAATATTCATGTCATCTACATTGGACAATCTAACATGTTTAGTACAATGGATGTTCCTGGTTTGTTACAGAAAAAAGCAAGCAACACCAACTATTCCAAAAAGTTTAAAATTACACATCAAACCTCAGAACTCTTGCAATAGGAAAGATGGTTCAAACAGGTAAATAAAAGTTTTCATTTTAATTGCAATTTAAAATTTCTTATGCATGCCTGGACAAATTAAAATTATTGACACCCACAAAAAAATTGTAATTAATGCAATCTGTAACCAGCTGTTGCATGATAAGTACTAAGTGCCCTTTCCATCAATGAAAGCTGCTTGTATTATTTAAATTGTTATGAATCATAAAGTGTCTGTGATATGAATGTAGGATGATTCTTGTGTTAGCTTGGGATCCTTCTTGTTAATCCTTCAGTAGACCAGTGTGGCACAAAACGTAGACAAACTTGAGACAAAGATCACCATTTTTTCATAATTATGTTTGAATTAAATATGTTGTTGTCATTGCTAAAATAGTGGGRAAAATTGCGTTAAAACCATGGATCCAGGCAAATGTAACCAAGTGTGTACTGCAAAGAAATTCCCCAAGAAAAATGGACCCCCTACACAGCCACAAAAAGTGTCACAAATCACGAAAAGTAAAGTCGGACCAAAAGATACAGTCAACTTGCCAAGAACACCATTGAAACTACTTCTACCACACATGGATAAGACACTGTCAATGAGGTAYGTTTAATCATTAATTATGTTTTGAAAATGGTACTTCATGACATGCCGACAGAGCAGAAAAACGACAAGGCTGCTACTTTCGCAATTTTTTTCTTTATCTCTCATTCATGCTAAAAAACGTTTAGTGTTTCATTCGTGTYTCTTGTGCTTTAAACTTTTCACAAAATTCTGCTAACCTCAGGCAATTCTACTTCTAGGCATTAGCAAAAATGTTAGTTTTCGTGCTGATCAAAATATCATCTCTCCCAACGTTAAGGGTGTTATATCTCAAATACGCATTCCTTAAATTTCCCCAAATTTTGGCATTTTGTTAATCAGCCCCAAAAGAGCCTGTTTATGAAATATAAAGCTTATTAACGCATAAAGGTCAAAAGTAGAACCCATTTTTCTGCCCTGCCTGACACGCCTTTATCATATATAATACTAGTTTCTTATTCACATTTCAACTTGGAGAGTTGCTTCAGTTTGTTAATCATCATCATGTTATAAAAGATGTACATGATATTGATTTTTGCAGGGAGAGACTCGAGTTGTGGAGAAAAGAAAAAGGGTAAGAATAATTGGATGAAGACTTTCTATTACTTGCTTTAACCTTGTAATCATATCGCAACCCAAAACAGCTATGTAAATATCTATTGAGGTGGTAAGGAGCTTCGTCATATTAAGATATAGAGTACATGTAAGTAATCAGTTTGAAATTTAATTCTGTTGGATTGGATTCTGAATTTTTTGAAATATAGCAAAACAGAAGGAGTTACAAAGACACCAGCAACACTGAGAAGGAAGAGTACAATGCCATCAAGAAGGAAAGACCACAAACCAATCACCATGGAAACACAGGAACCACTGCAGCTTGAACCTTTTGACACTATGCACTGTGACATGGCCGAAAAGAAACCAACACCAGAGGAAATAAGACAAAAACTACAAAATTGTTTGGAAAAAATAAAAGAGGTAAAAAAAACTTGAGTTAATGTTAATGAATAGCAATGCTTGATTCCAAGGAAAGATGTTAGTTTCCATGGTAACATAGTAATCCTCCCCTGCACCCTTAAAAGTACTGGTAGTCATCTTGACACTGTTTTGATTTCTTCTTTAGGATAAGAATAATGATGATATGATTGCAAATCATCTGGATGAGATACAGGACGCTCACCCAGGTTCACTGCAGTGTGCTGAGTTCTGGATTTGCAGGGCAAAAATTGCAGAGCATGAAGAAGATGATGGCAGGGTCGTGTGTTTGTTTGAACAAGCCCTAGTTTTCAATGCCGAGGTAGGTGGACCAAACCAGTTTCATAAATACTAAAGACATTGTTCCAGTGACATGCATGGTAGATTGATAGGACTTTTCAATGCCATACAGAATACAGTTCAAAGAATATAAAAATAGTTTGATCTTTAGTTGCAAAACTAGATTTTACCTGGACTATTACTGGTGGCAGAGGCTGGCTTGCAAATCAACTAGCTTAATCTTATTGCACTGACAGAGATCAGTTTTTGTCCTTTTTAGCCTGAGCACCTAATCAAGGAGGCTGTGGCAGAATACTCAAAAACAAGAAAAGGCCAGAAGGAAGGTAAGACATCCACAAAAACTGTTGTAGTTTAGTGTTTTGTTTTAGGTTGGTGTTATTTATTAATCCACCATTTTCCACTTATTCTTTCATCAGTGTCGTCTATAGAGGTACCAGAAGCTGTCCCAGGACTTTCAGTAACACCCCCTAGAGTAGATGATATCTTGAACAAACAAGCTGGTCAGCCCTCACCCTTTGACTCCTCCATCATCAAATACAGTGTCACAAAAGCAACACCTTTCAAAAGCAGGTTTGTATGACTAGATATGTAAAGCATTCAGTAAATGTTGCATGTACCAAAGTATCAAGCTTCCTTGGTGTCAATAATTATCCCTTGAGAGAATTGTAAAACCTTATATTCTTGGAGACCTTTGTCATCCATTACTTGAGGTATTCCTGGAGATGAAACTGGAGACATGGGTGATCAGTGAATCTTATAGCCTGCATGCAATCAGATTTTTAGACTTTAACTCTGGTTAAGATAGTCTGCAAATCAGAGCAAGATTTCTTGTTCTGGAGGATCCCTTCTTGTTTGCAGGATTATAGTATATAATAGACACCGATGATTGGCTGCTATATTGTTTCATTCTTGCCCTTGACAAAACTTTCAATTAATAGTACAAAGAGTAGCCTTTGAACAATCTGAATCTTTGCAGGCTGAAATCATGTGAAAGGCCAGTTGTGACACCAGTCCGCAGGTCAACAAGACTTGAAAGACGCAGTATGCACTATCCAACAACGTTACAGGAACATGGCCTCGCTGTAAGACACTTGGATGATCTACCAGAAGACATCAAAAAGAATGTCTTGTTTAAACCCAATTTGACTGTGCAGAATGATTTAAATGAAGCATGGAAAGCTCTGTGGAATGAATGAGATAAAACTTTTATACTGTTGCGAAAAAAGGTTGCGCAAAWTCCAATGTAAACAGATTGATGGTGTAGAAAGAATTTTGTTTAACATGAATCACGTTTTTAATGTGTACATATAAGAAGAAAAGGTATTTATCCTGGTAGGTTCTGGTACATAAGTCTACAATATTTTATAGGTCRTATCTTTGTTACATTGTTTTAAATTTGTTTTTAAGCGACAGCAAGAAAATGTTATTTGATTTTGCAAGTGAAAAGAAATTATAAAGTATAATATTGTCAATAAGTGCTTGTTGTTTTACTAGAGTACAGCCACTAGTCAGTAGAGTTCACCAATACTAAATCACYGAGCCTGAGGCAGATACATAATTGTTGAAGCATCATTAAATAGATGATTATTTATTTCTATCCGAAGAAAACCTATCCAGTGGATAAATTTATTGGATATCAGCGTCGATTTATCCACTGCATAAGGATTTATCGTCTTATTGGGCTATATTTCGTCTTATTG